CCACCCCCACCCCATTTCATCCCTCCCCGGCAATTCTTCCTCTTGCCTCATTTCGGGCGGCAGATCCCGGGCGTGGAGCCTGCCGGCTGGGGTGCTCATGCTCCTCCCCCTGCCCCCTGAGCTGGCATGATGTGCGTGTAAGATGAATCAGATGGACCCCCACCGCCGCCTGGGGCCCACGACCGTCCCTGGCAGAGGCATTCCCTGTCAGCAATCCCCACCTGAGCCCGTGGGCCGCTGACCCACCTGCTCCGGCGCAACGCTGTCTCCACGTTGTGGCCTCGCTGCCTGCGGTAGAAGTCAATGAAGGAGAAGGGCAGCGAGATGTTGAGCGCCCCCGCTCGGTGCGGGCCAGCGGTGCGTTTGCGAGCCTCGAAGGCGATGGTCAGATCCACCCAGGCTGCCGGCCGCTGCCTTTTGAAGGTGGCGATGAAGTCCTCGCCGAAGATGCGGCACAGCAGCTGCTCGAAGGCCAGGTCCACGCCCACCGCGCCGTAAGGGCCACCTGGGGCGGGAGGGGGGTGGGGCTGAGGGGGCGTCCCTGTCCGCCCGGCCGCCAGGGGGCGTCGGTGGGGACGGGGACGCGCTGCTACTAGGGTCACAGCCTGGCCACTCACCAGATGCCTTGTAGAGCTCCTTAAGGGTGCCATGGGGCTGCTCCAGCTGGTGCACGGTCAGGTCCACAGTGCCTCCGCCGCAGTCTGCCACCATGTAGCGGTCTCCTGCAGCAGTGAGCGCAGCACACACTCGTGGTGCCCTCGCACCCGCAGCCCTGTGCCCCCTCCAGCCCTGCCCCAGGTCCCAAGCCCTGTGTGAGGGACTTCAGGTGTTTGGACCTTAGGCCACAAGAAGTGCACAGATGATCTGCAACTCCGTCCAAGCATCTGTGGAGAATCGCCCGGAGGAGTGGGAGTTAGGGGCGCAGCTGTGAGTGGGGTGGGGGTGCAGGTGACTGTGAGATGACTCCCAGGTCAAGTGCTCGATGGAAGAGGAAGACAGCGGGTTTTGAAAAGACCCCCATGCCCCTATTGGCATATGTGTCCCACAGGCGTCCCGAGTCTCTGTCCATTCCCCCTTGGGCTACCTGCTTGCAGCTCTGCCCACAGCTCTCCTACACCCGACTCCACCAGGAACGTGCGACTGTGGCGGGACCTTCGCAGCTGCTCGCGGGCTGAGGGTCAGAGGACAGCCGGGAGTGAGATCGGGAGTGAGATCGGAAGGCGGTGCTCCAGCTACCACATTCAACTCCTGTCCTCCTGCCAAGGCCCTCCATGAGCACTGGGAGCAGCCAATGGTCCCAAAGCTTTCCTGACTGAGGGCAACGCTGACCCTGAAACCCGGGCACTGTATCCAACAGCTAGGAAAGCATTTCTGAACACACGACCTTCCTTTGGACCTCAGGCCATGGCAAAATCAATCAGGGTTGGGAGGGTCTGGAGGAGCTGTGCGATACCGGTGGGTCTTGGGAACCCCAAGGGCAGCTTAGGAGTTAGGGCTTCTCTGTGTCAAGGGAGATAGCATTTGGGAGGATGACCAAGGTTGACCATAGCTGTCCTTGGCCTAGGTGCCCAGTAGCAGGAACTTGGAGCTGAAATGTGTGTGTGGGACTGATGTTGAGGGAACAGCTGGGGGGCGGGGCAGCTCCTCCTCCTGCACAGAGTGGGGGCTGAGTTCCTCCTTTGTCAGCACCAGAGTGTCTTCTCCCAGGTTTCCTTCCACCCTCAGACTCAGGGCTGGGCTGATGCCTCCCCTCCTCAGACCTTGCTGCCCTAGGACAAGGTGAAATCTCCACCGTTAGGTTAGACACCCCCAGGTTGGGACAGTGTCTCATCTTCAAAGTTCTCCCAGGGCAGGGCTGGGCGTCTCTCCCTCCGACTAAACACCACGAGGGATGGTTCTACCGGCTCAGATTGGGCTCCTCCAAGGTGGAGCCTCCCGCCTCTTCATCCTGGACATGGCTAAGCCTCTGGTCCCAGTGACCCTCTGGCCCTCCAAGGGTGGGCAGTGCCCCAGTGGGTGGCTCACCCTGCCGGAAGCTGGAGTCAATGGAGCGGCGCTCTCCCAGGCGCCCACCGCCTGGGGCCCGGCTGCTCAGGTCCATGAGCTGGTGCAGACGCAGTTTGCGGCAGTATACAGAGGCAGCCTCAGGCTCCAGGGCAATGAGGAGTTGCTCTGCATTCTCTCGAGATACCAGTCCAGCCTGGGGACGGGCAGTGGGCAGGACAGAGCAGCAGGCAGCACCGTGTGGGCTGTCACATCGAAGATGGCACCCCGGGTGGGGACCAGGGCCTACGTGGCTCCCACCTCCTCCCCATCACACCTCACCCAGGCTGGGCCTCTCAGGCCCCTCCATGCTGCACAAATTTGGAGCTGCCTCACAGCTACCCTATGACCAGGCTGGGGAGAGACACAGCCAAGGCCAGGAATGCCAAGGGGTTGCCCAGCAGGAAGAGACCCTAGATACAGTGCAGACCTAGAGCATCTGGGAATCTACCCCTTCAAACTTTCCAAGATGGTGCAGCCTGCAGCAAGATTCCCCTTCACAAGTACAGGTGGTCAGCTGAGAACTGGCTGGGATGTTAGCACAGTGTGGGGGATGTAGTGGCTCAGAGGAGATGGTGGGGAGCCCCATTCAGCTCTCTGAACCCTCTTCCTCCACCAGGCTGGTGTCAGATAGTGGTCACAGGCCACCCCACTCCCAGGAGAACTTTGTTCCCAGGGAATCTGATAGAGCAGGAAGGAAACAGTGAAATTCCAGGCAAGATAGGCCAGTTGGGTGGAGAAAAACACTTGAGATCTGTTATTTCCTGCATCAGGGTAGGGGATCTCTGTGGGAAGTACTTTATGGGGTTCTGTCAGATTCCCCAGATTCAGACCAGATAGGAAGGGAAATATGTTGGGAATGGTACTTTCTGCCCAGGACCAGCCCTTCCTGAACTGGCAGCCAGAGAACAGTGTGGAAGAAAGCAGGGTAGAAAAACGGGCAGGGGTCACTGGGGTGAGGGGTGTTTGTTGTGGCTGCGAACAGCCTTGATTTCATCCTGATTCTTACGAGAGGGTACTCATTATGCTTAGGGTTAGCTCCTTCCAGTGACAAGCGTAGGCACCTAAAGACTTGGCCCCTGGGTCTTGCCACAGGTGTGAGGGGACTGGGGCTTTGGTATCCTCCAGAAGGGCTCCACAGATGGGCTTGAGATCCCTTTTGGACATCCTAGGCTCTGTCTTCCAAGGCCCCAGGGTTAGATACAACCAATGAATCTTGCTCTGGGAGGCTATGCCTTCTGTCTCTCCACTGGAGAGGATAGTGTCTAACCTCCCCTACCCACTTCTCCAGACCTTTGAGCATCTCTGTGGTAGGAAGACCTGCACACAAGGGCCAGAACTTTCTCCTATCTTGTTTCATTGTCTTATTTTCCCTGCCTAAGGACCTACAAAAGTTGGGGGGGTCCCTGAAAAAACTGATGCCAGCTGAAGTGGGTGTTCTTGGTGCCCTGCCTGCCACTATGAGTGTCAGGTGCTCTTCACAGCTGCCTCCTTCTCTGGATAACTGTCAGCTGATGGAAACTGCCTCACTTGGAAAGATTTCCCACCCACTCCCCCAGCAACCAATGACCGAATGATACAGACACACAAGAAGCCAGCCCAGCCGGGCTCAGTGGCTCAGCCTGTAATCCCGCGCCTTTGGGAGGCTGAGGTGAGTGGAGTGGATTGCCTGAGCCCGCGGGTTTGCAGCCCACCTGGGCAGCGAGACCTCATCTCTACAATAAATCAAAAAAAATCAGCCGGGCATGGTAGTGCATGCCT